ATGAATAATGAAGATAATAAAAGATGTTGCTAAAAATGGGCACAATAACAGCAAATTTCATCAAGCCGAGCGCTCTGATTAATCTGCTCTTGCAAATCAGCAGTGAGGGGGGACGTGTGATTACCCGCGCGGCGGCCGGCACCAGGCGGCAGTCTGTCCCTGCCCCTGTTCCTGTCCTGTCCCTGCCCCAGCCCCTGCACTATCCCTATCCCTGCCCCTTTTCCCGTTCGTGTCCCTGCCCCAGTCCCTGTCCGGGGAGGCACACCCGGCGTGTGACCGCCCGCATCCCGGCGCCGCGGGGCCGGGGGAGCCCGGGAAGCACGGCCCGGCTGCGACACAGCTCCGGGGGTTCCCGTCGGCGCGGCCCCGGGGCGAAGGCGAGCTGGGAACACCGGGGGCCGCCCGTGCCGGGAGCCGCACGCTCTGCCCACCGCGGGGGCCGATACAAAGCTCTGCCGTTCGAGTTGCCCCGAGCAAACCGCGGCCTCCTGTTCTGCGACCTTCCCGCGAGCCCAAGCCCTCTCCTGGCGAACGCTGTGCCCCGCTGCCCAGGTAAAGGGGACACGGTCCGATGCGTCACTGCCTGGTAGGGCCCTTCAAGGATGGAGAAGGTCAAGCTCGGGCCGCTGAGCATCCGCGGCTTAGCGCAGCCTGTCAGTCCTACCAACACTCCTTTATGCCTAAGAATAAGGTTTGCCGTGTGTATAACCATCAACCTTTACACTGATAGAGCCCCTCATGGCGGGATGCGCGGCCCGACACTTCACACGTCAGCCTCTGCTCTACACAGATGAAGAACAAATGTCACGAGTATGAACTGATGGCCAGATTGTCATCTGGCTCAAGTGCTGTAGCCATTAAACAGTACTTTCAAACGTAATACTCAGTTTACCCTGATTTAGCTACTCCCACGAGGGTCCAACTCCACAGATTTCACCGGCATTAATTAATGCTTTTCACAAGATTGGGATTTTTCACAGACTGCAAAAAATAAAATTTGAGAAAACAGTGATGCTGCTTTCTAAAGCTGATGCGTAGGCTGGCAGTGGACATTGTGCATTGGAAGCAGGCAAGTATTCCAAAAAGCAGTATCTTTTTATAAGACAACCACTACACTCTTTTAAAGCATTTAGAAATAATCATTCAGAAAGAAATTACTTCATTGGGATTACTAGTCAGAAAAAATATTCTAGTTTGCTATTCTCCATATGTTTTAGTTCAGGTATTCTCCATCGTTGATGATGGACAACTGTACTGTTAATTCTTTGCCTTTCCATCCAAAATATTGTTTAGAAATTAATTAGTAAGTTCTTACCTCAATGAGAGACTGATTCAGAGATACTGAGACTATGCAGTATCTGGATAAAAATGTGATTTAAAAAGGCTGGAACAGTAATCATTAAGATCTATATTTTTCCTTCCTTTCTCCCTCTGCTCTACTTTCCCATTCCTAGAATGCTTATGTATTCCATGTTCTGTTCCACCAAACATTCCAGTACATAGACATCAACCAGAGAGCATCCCAAAATACAGATCTGCAGCATATCCCTGTTTTGTCCCCCAGCGTTCCAAAGAAAGCCTGACAGAATTTAGCAACTCTTGCAGGAAATTGTTCCATTTGAAGTTTCACTTGATCTTAGCTGACAGTTTTCAGGTAGAAGCAAATTACATTGTTCTCAGTACAGATTGTGTGAGCTCTCACTGCAATGGGAGGAAAGGATTAAGGCTCATTCTTCCTTCACCCCTGCTTTCTACCATTCCTAAGTGGAGCTTGTGGGTTTTATCTGCAGAGCCTCTCAGTAAATCCAGCCAATGTCTTCTTAGCCTAAGTCAGTCTGGGAAGTTGTGTTGAAACCTTTTCATACCCTCCTTATTCAGCTGCCATGTTTCCCTCTGTTACAGTCATAGTTGACTTGTCAATGTGTTTGTTAAGAAACAGGATTTCTTTGGCCACTCCAGCTGTTTTTTTTCATTGCATCTTGAAATTGTATATGATAGTCTTCCATGCTAACTGGCCCTAAAGACTGTAAACTTCACCTCTGTGTTCTGCCATATTTCAAAAAAAAAAAATTAAAAATTTACTGACTAACAGGATTTCTATCACATTTTTGGGATAGATTCCTTCCTGTGGGAGATTTCTCCTCAAACCTTACACCATTACATTGTCTAAGTTGAGTTTTGTGGCAATTTTCATATTTTAAGTGTTCCTTTTTCTTTTAATTGCTAGTCTAGTAACTGTTACTAGGAGAAGACATAAAAAGGTGTCACATAAACTTCTGACCACAGTTTAAAGACTGATAGAAGTATCACTAGAGATTGTATTTCTTCTGCCAATTCTCATAACTAGGGCTTTGGCTCATACTGTCATGTATTTACTCACTGCTGGTGACATTTGTTTATGCAACGTGCTTTTTTCTTCTAGTAAATGAGGAGATTTATTGTCACGCTATACTAAATTCCATATAACAGCAAGCAGCAATGGACAACCAAAATAATCTCATTGGAAAGCTGATGTTGAAGGGTTATTTTGCCAAAAAGTTAAATTCATGGTTTAATCACACAAACAGCATTATATAAAATGAATAAAATCCAGAGGGGGAAATCTTCACCCAAAAATAGTAGTGTCACTAAAAAACATTCTGGGACAATTTTCTCTGGCTTGTTCAGCATCATCAAACCATTAATTCCAGGTGATACTTTCAATGACACTCCCTCAGAGGAACAATATTAGACATTCACTTGTATGATCTTCACCTTGTATGAAGAGAATGAATAAAAAATGAAGTTCTTCACTGTGAACTATTCCCCGACTGGCTATTTTCATTTAAAATACTGTTTATTTTACTTTGACAGTCTGAAGGTTAAATTAACTCTGAGTTTTCTGTTCTTCTACTGTGAAGGTAGTGGGAAGACTCAGAGCATACTGCTGCCTCTTAAGATGGTAAAGGAAGTGATAACATACAGCCCAAGTGATAATACTCTTAACACTATCAAAAATCTAAGTCATAGATTCATCAAAAGTGGCCAGTGATACTTTGTTCTGTCAAGAGCATACAAGATCTTGATTACTAATAGAGTCATGTGAAATAAAAATTAATTAAGATACTGTTTCAAAATCAACATTTTTCAGGGATGTTTCCTATGCTTTCCACAACACATGGCTACGTACCTCCAGTAGAGATACTGCTTTTGGGCCAGAAGTGGAAAGGATTTAGATTCTTGTACACATTTAAGGATTTGATCCCTATACTGGATTTACTACCATTGCCTAAACAGGAGAGAAGGTTTTGGTCACTCTGCCTATGAAAAAAGCGTAAGTTTATTGGTCATGCATATCCCTTTGCCCTTCTTAATAATAAACTTTAGGTAGAATTTTGGACATACTCTGCATTATAGATTTTGTAACTGCCTTCTCCCTATCACTGGTGAATATTAACTGAATTCACAAGGAAGGAGAGTTTTCTAAACTATGAGGATCAGTCTTTTAGCTGAGGTTACCCGAATCTACGTGGGAATCGCACATGTCACTGCAGTCATGTCACAAAATACATGCACAGCACTGGGTAGCTACACTGAGAGAGCCATACCAGCTTTTTCTAGAATAAACATGAAAAGCAGGCTGGTACCGGAGATATTTGCTACTAGCTCACACCAAAATGAGTTCAGAGCCTTTTGAATCATTTGTTCCGTGTTCTAGCTGATAAACCACAGCCTATTTATTACACTATTTATGCCTCATTGTTCAAAATTCACTTGCCTATCATGAAAGCTGCTACATTGTTAAAAAAATGTAAATATTAAATACGCTAAGTCCTAGCAACTCTATGTAGAATACCTTTTAAAAGTATATCTGCAGTTGGATATTCAGACTGACTGCTTGTCTTAATTTATGCAAATATAGCCTATAGCTAAAAGCTTTGTATATTTGTTTCCCTGTGGTATTAGTATTCAAAAAAATAGGACATTCTTTCAAGGGCATTTTATAAACGCAGAACTATAATTTATATAGCAAATTAAAGCTCATACAAAATGTGTGCACTGAGCTACAGATTAACATATTTAATTTCAGTATTACCTGCAAACCTATTTTTTTCCATGCACTGCTCTAATTAGCCATATAAAATCAAGTCAGTATATTGTAAGCAATTATTTTAGTGGGAGTAGAAAGAGAATCTGAATTAAATATATGGTAAGAGATAATATCTTATGGAAATTAATATACTCATTTGTGTCAAGAAAAATGTGTTCTAGCTAAATATTATAAGATAGTTTGGAGTTCAAACATATGACTCATGTAGAAGTTGTAGTTTTATAGTTACCAAGATGTTAGACTGTGGATCTGCTTTTAAGTTCCTTATTAATGTGCCAGTGCTCATTCTTTGATATCTACAGATTGTCAGTAACTACTGTCATTTCATATTGTGAAATTCCTCCTATTATGAATATTCACTCCCCCTACAGTCAAATGTGTAAACTGTTAGTAACTGTATGTTACAAGAAGGTTTTCTTCCATCATTTAAATATATAAACCATACTTGGTTCTTCATATTTTTACTTTTATAACTATTTACTTAAGAGAATTAAATGACATTGAAAATCAATATGCAATTTTTCTTTCATCAAAATGGAAAAGTAATCATATAAACAGAAATCTTTTCTTTCCCATTTTACCCTCAAAAAGTATGAAAGCTAAATATGAAAATTCTGTTTAAGGAATGAGAAAACCAAAAGCGATCCATTGTGATTATAAACTTCAGCTGTTTCCTCCCAATATATTTCCCAGTTTTGATGGGATTCAGACAGCAGAAACCATTTTCTAGCAGTAAAAGCATTTGGCTGATCAAGTTGCTGTAATTCAGAATTTTACACTCAATTTCAAATGTAGAGCCTGCAATACAAGCCATAGTTAAGTTTCTTTTGTAGGAAGGATAACAGGCCCAGACAATTCCTCCTACTTCTTGCTCATGATCTCAGAATATCCAAAAAAGATCAGTACTAACCACATGGAAGTCTGATGATGATGCATAACGATGTTGTGGCCTTAAAGCAACTCCTCCCCGTTTCTTGGCACGGAAGTTGCTGACTGACACAGCTGCTTTATACCTCCACTCTGCCTTGGGACAATGATAACATGGAATTTTATTGCTTGGAAGGCCATTCCTAAGAAAGCAAGCAGAAAATAAAGTATTTTAGAAGAGGTACAAAAAATTGAATTATATTTTTGCCTTCTTGCCTCCAGCATCACACAACAGTAGCTAATGCATAAGAAACTTCCTGGATCTAGAACTGTGAGGGAAAGTTTTCCCACCTCATGAAAATTCAAAACTTTCAGATGATTTACTGTTTCATATCTGAACAAATCAGTGGGCACTAAAAAAATACAGTGTACAGAGGCACATCCTAGTTCTTTCTTTAGCATCCTCTCACATCCCAGCTGAGCATCCTGGCCACTTGAAGTCTGAGGTAAGTTGTTCTCAAACTTCCCACTGAAGCCTTTTTATCTTCCATACACAAAAAAATTGTCATGCTATGAACCTGTACCTGGACAGGACAATCTGTCCTGTATAGGACAACTACTGACCATTCTTAAGCAGCTGTATTTTATATATATATATATAAAAACATATATATATATATACACACACATACACATATTCCTATGAAACCACTGGATTTGGACAAATCATTGTCTCTAGTAAAACTCATTCTGTTTTAGAGATCCAAAATAGTTTCCTACAACTATAGGAGGAATAATTCCAATCTTCTATGTTAAAGTGTACAAGTAAAAGGAGTGTGAAAAAAATTATTTTATTTAAAACTTTCCTTAACCTTGTAGGACAAATTTGGAACAGGGCCTCAACCCAGTCTGTAAAAATATGTGGAAGAACTTCAAAGGTGACAGCTAAACCTTGCACTCAACATTAAGTGCAGTAGGATTGACAGAAGAAGTGGCAGACAAATTAAATAGCTACCTCTGTTTAAGCAATTTTTTTTTGTGACAGAATTTTAAAAGTTTGCTGGGCAATTACTCTAAAATGACAGCATACTGCTGAGCGGGTGGTGCACTGAGTACATAAAAGAACTTGTCAATAGTTATTTCAATAGGCACTTTCAAACTCTCAGGAGCTTTAGTATATATCATTACATCATTAAAATATTAAATTATTTCAGCTATCACAGATGTAAAATTGTTGCTGCACCTATTTCGCTAATTAACTCTGACATTTATGCTTATGCATAAATGGTACATACTTCAGGGATGGTTCATTTTTACAGGCTAGTTATTAGTCTGTGGATTGAATCAACGTGCCTGTAGTATCAGAATCAGTTGCTGTACCGAAGCACAGCAAACTTTTGGATCACTGATGTAGTTTTGCATTTAATTTTTTTTCCTCACCTTCTTCAACTATCTTAAGTCCATCTGTTGGGGTGATGTAAAGAAATTATTTCAATGTAGCATTTAAATGCATGTTCATTCTGCTGTACCAGAAATTATGTCAAGTATGAGTTGTGATTTTCTTTCAAAAGTAAATGGTTTGCTAACAAAGCAAATTTAAATATGGTCATATAAGAGAAAATACTCAAGTAATATTACTAATGAAATCTTTTCCTTCTGCTTTATATTATGCATCTTCTGTGTGCTTTTTTGTACAGATTAACTCAATATTAATAATGGACCATCTTGGAACATAGCCTTGTTTTAGCATTTTAAAGATTCTCTGCATATTTCAGTAAAAATGGAATACATTTTCTGTAAGAAAATCACTGAATTAACTTCTAGTTACGACAGTCCAACTGGAGCGCCCAAGAATGACTTTTGTAACACATGGGCTCAACCTGCATTTAGGCATCAAAATAAATAGGAATCTCTCCTACAGTTCTGTTTCTGACCATGCCTACACACATGCCAAACTTCAGGCTGAAGTAGCTCTACTCAAGTCCACAGGACTACATGCTTAAAATTAATCTCATATAAATTTGTGGGTTTAAAGCCTAATGAGGGAGTACAAAACTGAGCCCTACAGGAACAATGGCTCAGAGATTCTAAAAGGAATTGCTTACAGAAAACTTATATTCAGATTGCAATGCCTAACTCTTCTAGTCTCCTTTGAAAAATCTCTTCATTTGCTCCAGTTATTTCCTGAGTAGTTCAAGGTTCTTGTGTGCCAGGCAATAAAGAGCAAAGATACCCTCTCTGCTTTAGCCGCCTCCAGGATTCATGCACTATATGAATAGTTTTGATCCAGATCAAGTTCTTCACTTTATCAACTGGCATGAATACCTAATATGATAACGCTAGACCTGTACTCATTAGTGCTTTAGTCAAGGGGACATGTTTGTAATGGTAAGACACTGTCAGTTAGGGGGGAAAGATCATTTAGTGACAGGAAAATTATTGCTATATCTCATTAGGAATGTGATGTTCCTGTGCTGAGTTCAGACATACCAATTGCAAAGTGGTAATCATCATAATAGCATCAGGATGTTGCTATATTTGAATATGATTTGAGCTCCCCACTGGATCAGCCCATTGTCACCTACCAGCCTGGAGAATAGGGAAGATGCTGCTCTACAGTGACTCGTGCACCACGGGAAAATATAGACCCTACTACGACCACCTACTAGGAAATGTATTTAGCAATTTGTTTCTAGAAGCCTGTGATTTTACAACTGAAAGGTGGAATATTATGAAAGGTTCTGAGCCTGCAAGGAAAGTTATCTGATTTATCCAGTAAAGCAATCTGTCTACAGTATAGTATTCTTATTTTAGGATAGCTGGTATCTGATAAATTATACAAATCTGCAAGCCTGAATCGGTTATACTAGATCATTTTGCTTGGTTCCAATAGTAGAAAGGCCTTATGATATCCATTTGCACTCCTTTTACTGCTAGCCAGCTCAGTCAGTCTTTAATAAATACTATACTCTCCTAAGGAAGATGTCAGATGTAGCAGAATTGTCTCTGACAAACAAAAGTGCCACAAAGGGCTCAAAGACCTACATTTGATGAAATTCTCTCTCACAGTAGGAGGTGTAAATATCTAATATAGAGAAATTCGGAAAAATTTCTTCTCCGTTTTCTTACTGCAATGGGAGTTCTTCAGATACGAATGGCCAGAAGGTTTCTCCAAATATATTCCAAGGCAGTGCTATGTGCCAGAGAGTACCTCCTGTGTTAGATCTTACAGAACTGCAAGTTCATTTGTGACATTAAAAAAACTGAGTTTTCATCCACCCCCTCGATGCCCTTCAAACTCCCACAGATATGGGGACACAGTGTTGCACAGTGATCCCAAGGACCTCTCAGGTCACTAGGAAAGGAAGAAACATTTCCTCTTCTTGCCAAGTCTACTGACTTGGGCAGTTCTGAAAGTTGCTAATTGTCTCATTCCCTTTCTCCTCCACAACAGATAACCTAACACATACTGCTGAGTAAGAGCGTTTTCCTGTGCTCAGAAGAGAACAAGCCCTTCAGTTGCACTGGATCTGACTACAGGTGAATTATTTCTTTCCCGGAGACCCAAGCACAGTTTTCTTCATTTCTGAACGACCAGGTGCAGTCTGGCTTCAAAAAGACTGCATTAAATTTTAGCAATTGGACTAATCTAAACAACTTTTGTTTCAGACTGATGATGTGCATGGCTTGCATCTGCAAACATTTTTCTATATATACTTACATTTTAGTTAGATAAGTTAAAGTTTTACGTTTTTAGTAATCTGCAAATTATGTTTTAATTCACCTGTCATATATTTAGCAATATCTAATGATCAAACAGAAATTTTAAGATTTTAAAATTACAAAGGGAATTGTCATTTACTAATGTGTTGGCAATCATTCAGCTTCACAGCTGAGTTATGGTATTCCAAGCTTTTTGGCTATGTCCTGCTCTTCCTCCTGTGGCCAATCAGATCTAAGTAAAGATCCTTGCTTGTTATTGTTTTAGGCTTTCTCTTCCCTCAGCAACCTGGTCCAAAGTATTTCTACACCACTACCAAAATAGTTGCCCATGATGACCAAGAGAAGCCTACTGCCACTATAAAATGAAAACAGCATCAAACAGCATTTCCTTTTCCTTGAATATTTCCTCAGAAGTAGGAAAGAAAAAAAAAAAAGAAAAAAGAAAGAACTGAAGAAATTGGATTCTTCTTCTAAAGGAGAAAATATTTAAAATATTTTAAAGTCTATACAAATCTCCCATTAAGGGAATCTAGAAATCAGAAGAATGTGTTCACATTAAATATGCATAGAAATTTCAGTGCAATTATCAATACTTTCCAATTAATTTCTGGTATCTTTATCCCATAAAAGCAAAGGCGAACACCAACACTGGAGAACTGAAACTTTCCTTAGATGGGGAGCTCTTCAAAATCCTGTGCTTGTGCTTATAAATGCCAGCTTCTTGCACAGAATCAGCTGTGTCAGTATTTTAGTCAGCAAAAAAGTCTTAGAAATGACTCTCCCTGATGCTGGGGAGAAATGATAGTTCCATCTGATCTGAAGTGATCCTGAACATCACCTGAGAGTTCAGTTGATCTTACAAGCAATTCTCTATCCCCCTGCCCTCCTGACTGTACCAATCTTATATGGGATTTTTTGGATCCATCTTGAAGAAGACAGAAACTTGAGACATCAGACTTTAGACCAGAAATACTTACAACCTTTCCTCCTGTTGCACAGCTAAAATAAACCACAAGTAACATAACATGAATATTTCTAGTATCAGGCTTTCTAAATGCAACTAAAATTTCCCATAAAAAGGAAGTCAGTTCTTTCACCCTGATTTACTGCACCGACAAAGGAACTCCTCCTGATTTACATTACCTTATAAGAACGAAAAATTGCTATTATATATGCCAAAATGTCACCTGATACATTTTTTATAATCAGAGATTACACCAAAAATATTTTCAATGAAATCTAAAAACAAAGAAGCAAATCTAAGCCTCTAATTCATTAAGAGCTAAACTTTCAAAGCTGAAGGTCATATGTCCCTTCTAGGGGACTACAAACAAATCTAAATTTTTCACCACGATTTTCGCATCACAGGAAAATGTGACAGTGGTAATAATACATGGTATTATATACTGCTAGACACATTGGACAAATTACATCTGCTACTGAATAGATGTGGAAGGAGTCTGCATTAGAAAACTTCCTG